GCGGCCCTGGGGGGCACCTGCCACCCCCCCCGGCACAACACGGCGCGGGAGAGCTCCCGTGTCCCGCCGTGTCCCCGCCGTGCCCCCCCGCCCCGCACTCACCTGCGGCCGCCGGCGAGCGGAGCGGAGGGGAGCGGAGCGCGCCCGGCCGCCCCCGCCGCGCTGCGGCACCGGCTCCGCCCGCTGTCGCAAAGCCCCGCTCGCCCTCACTGACGGCAGCGGCGGCGTCGCCGCGGTAACGGTGCTGGCGGCGGGCCCGGAGCCGCAGCACGGCGCCGCTTTTCGGCGCTACCGCCGTGTGGGCGGCAGGAGGAGCGCTGCGGGCGGCCGCGCCGCGGAGCCCGTGCCCGGCGGGCCCCGCGCCTCGCGGGCCGCCCCGGCAGCGCCCGGGCGCCGCACCTCCCCTTTGCCCTCCCGTTAGCTCCTARTGCAGCAGCCGGGTAGTTACAGCCACGCTCCTCAGCGCCGGCGGCCGCCTTCTTTGTTGTCGTTATTTTACCAGCCGCTCTTGGCTTTATAAAAATAGGAAACGGGGAAGAACGGGACATAGGGATGCGCCATCCCCGTGTTCCCTGTTAAACAGGCAGCGAACAGCTGCTCGGGAGAGGAGGATAGCTCCGCCGCTCGAGCGCGCCCTCCTCGCCAGGATTAATTAAAGCGGGGACGTTGTTTGGCAACCGGCCTTGCCCTGGCACGCACCGCGCCCAACGGCGGGGACCGAGACTGTCCGCCCCGACACGTATTGCTCTGAGTTAGCTAGTTCAACCCGACCCTGGAAGGTAAAGCTACAAAACCCCGTGGAATTACATCACGACAAAAAATATATATTTTTATTGCTTTAGCGTTTACGCAGCTTGCCCGCCCTGCCCTCAACCAAGATGGCGGCCGCGCCCCTTCCGCCACCTGGCCGCCGCTGCCCGCATCTAAAATGTCCGGTGGCCCACAACCAAGATGGCGGCGGCGGCGCGGCAGGCGTGGYGGGCGGAAGGCGCGGTGCATGCCGGGCGCGCCGCGCGCCGTGACGGTGCAGATCGCCAGGCCCGGCCGCGCCGCTGAGGGGAGCGGGGGGCGGCACGGGAGCGGGGGCACGCCACGCCACGGGACGGGAGGATGGTGGGCGTCAAGGTGATCGCCAACGACACCGAGTTCCAGCCCGAGCTCAGCGCCGCCGGCTCCCGCCTCGCCGTCGTCAAGTTCACCATGCGCGGGTGAGTGGCGCCGCGCAGGCCGCGCGGGCGGCCCCGGGACGGGCCGCGCTGCCGGGACGGGCCGCCGCGCGCTCCCCCTCCGCTACCTGCCCGGCGTGTTCCACCCGCACCCCGCTCCCTTGGGCCCGCGCCGCCGCCTCTGCTTTKCCCTCCCTCTGCCCCCAAATCGGTGTCGCGTGGCCCGCTCCGGGTGAGTTTCAGACCCGGAGAAATCACCTGGTCGTCGAATCGCTACGGTTGGAAGGGACCTGCAAGATCATCCAGTCCAAGTGTAAACCCAGCATCGCCAGGCCTTGTAGAYTACATTTCACATCTGATTCTTGGGTTTTACTTGTGTATATCTTGTTAGTCAGGCTCTCAACTAACTTCGGAGATATTACAGATTTTCCAATTACCTGGAATGCTCATGCATGTACCCACAAAAATGTTTTGGTTACAGCTAAGCCAATATATAGGTTCCGTTTAAGGCAGTRCCTAGATGTTTTGGTATAAGTGTCTCTAGGTTTGCCTTGCTGTATCACTATTAATCCATGACTTTCCACAAACAAGAGAGCAGGAAGAGGGATTTGGACCTTGTTTGTGCTGCTGTGCCGCTCTCTGTTGGCAGCTTCTCATGGACAGAGCAACCTGGTCTAGGCGTAGCATAGMGATGTGCTGTTGGAGGGGACTTACRTGTTTTTAAATATTTTTCTTTTTAACTGCTTCTTCTGCAGCAAGCTAAGTTGCAAGGTTATTTTCTTGTCAACGTACGTGTACCACGTCACCAAAGGTTTGTTCATTAACAAATAYGTATCTTGCCCAAACTGGCACGGTTCCACTGGCAGAAGTCAGGTCTGTACCCTGGCCTGGGGAGGGTGAGAGTAACAATTTTAGTAAATCAGTTTTACCATAATAAACTTTTGTTAGGAATCATAGAATTCTTAATGTGTTAGTGTTTTCACAGGTGCTAACCTAGATCATTAATACTGTGTTTCCACAGAGAGAGTATTTTGCTGCTCTTGGGAAAACCCGGCAGTAGCTGCTCATCTTTAGTTAGAAAGATGCTAGAACTAAGCACACCAGACAGAAAATGTGAAGATAGTTTTAACTGATAGACACAGGTGGTCATGTGACATCGAGGCCATCTAAGGAAACGGGAATTAACACTTTGTGATATGTTTTTAAATGTCAGTCTTAATTGTGTCCCCAGGATTGCTCACCATATGTCAGCCAGGTAGGAAAGTTATTTAATGCGTACCAAGGATAAGAACATGAATGTGTGTGCTTGGTTTGGGCCAGTATTTTTCAGAAAAAAAAAAAGTTGTGTTAACTTGTTTTATTTTCACAGATGTGGCCCTTGTTTAAGGATAGCCCCAGCTTTCAATGCCCTGAGTAACAAATATCCTCAGGCAACTTTTTTGGAGGTGGACGTACACCAGTGCCAGGTGGGTATTTGGAAACAGATCTTTAGCTAGSAAATTTGACCCTGTCAGAGAACAGATAATGAATGAAAATTGTTCAAATAGTATTGTAAGAGATTATGATCATTACGAGTTTTGTGAGTCATGAGTAGCTGTATTGTAAAGCCTCCAAACTTGAGGTCCACACAGAGAKGTGGAAACCTGCACTTGTATTTTAGAAAGTATTCTTGCAATTGCAGTCTGGATATCTTTCATTTCAATAGTGTGTGGATAGTTTAACTGTTGCTCCCCCACATACAGTAAAGTGTGTAAGATAATGCAAGTGCAAGTTAAAGAGTATGTTATTTTTTTCTAAACAAATCTAGCATAATTATTGATCAAAATGAGAAATGTATTAAACTGATAAGATTGGAAGGGCTGGGTACCTCTGAAATACTGTGCGGAACTGTTTTAACATACAAGTGTCTTTACTGGAAATATGGTAATGGAGAAAGATTAAYATGAAATAGTATCATTTGCAAATGACACTAAATTATACAAAGTTACAAGGGAAAAAAAAACTACTGTGGATCTATAACAAATGTAAATGTAAATGTAAAATGTAAAAAATGTAAATACAAGTAGGAATCAAATGAAGTCACTGTCACATGGAGACCTCAGCTTGGCTTAATTGTGGCTTGGGGAGGGTTGGAGGAAAACAGTAAAGAAGAGCTTGTGGAATAGGAGTGTTCAATGGAGCGGTCAACTGCCTTGATACGAGTGCTGCTCTTTTGAGTAAGGCAATACAGTGATTTCTGTATTGTACTAGAATCTTTTGTTAGCTAAAACTCTTCAAAGAACAGTGTAAAGAATTAGGGAAAAAAAGAATACATTTAAAATWGGCATTTGTGTTAGAGCTGTTTATAAAATAGCAAATATTGTTTGTGACATTTGAGGTGGTAAAATTTGATTAACATGCAATATGCACATCTTTAAGTGAAACAAGCTAATGGTTCTAATATTAGTCTGTTAGGTAACACTTGTACTAATTTATGCATTCTAGGGAACAGCTGCTACCAATAATATATCAGCAACACCAACATTTCTGTTTTTTCGAAACAAAGTGCGAATCGACCAATATCAAGGAGCAGATGCTGTAGGTTTAGAAGAAAAAATTAAACAGCACCTGGAGAATGACCCTGGAAACAATGAAGATACAGATATCCCAAAAGGATATGTATGCATCTTCTCTCTCTCTCTCTCTCTCTCTCTGTCTCTCTCTCTCTCTCTCTCTTTTATTTGTTTTTATTTTACATGTTTACATATATTTAACACATGAAAAATCTATGTTTTCTAAACATATTCTGGTCAAGCAGATAATGCTGCTTTAGGCAGCAGTGCAGGTTTTGCAAGACTTTGGGAAGATCGTTTCTGTGGGTTTCCCTATTCAGACAAAACTCAAAGATTGACGTGTACATACTGGTGAGCATTGATGTAGCATTGTAAATTGTACTGAAAATTTCCAAGCAAAGATGCTGGTGGTTAAAATAGGGAGTTTCATAATAAATCTGTTACTTTGGCGGTAGGTTTATGTGGACTTTTGCTCTCTTCTTTCTTCCTTTCTTTCCTTYAATTCTCTTYATCACARTCCCTTTCCTTGCAGTGCCYTCAACCAAATATAAACCCTCCTGAACTTTATTCTCTCGTTGATATTGAGTATATAGGAAGTAATGGGTGTRGCATATTGTGACAGTGATAAAAATAGGGTATGGATTTGCTTAAGGGGAAATAAAATTACTATCCTTTTTTACTGTAGGAGTTAACCTTTGCAATAGTCTGCATCCATCTTGTCCTACAGCAGCTTGCCCTGAAATATGCGTTTCAGGGAGTATTGTTAGATAAACAATGTTATGATATTTTTTTCTTGTGCCTGATTTCTGATCTCTTTCAGAAGTAAATGGAAGTAAACAGAACTTTTTTTTTAATTCTTCATTCTCTGTAAAGCGTTTAAGAGGATATATAATATAAAATGACATACAACAAATCCTTGGAAAAGATAATGTGCCTGGTCTGAGTGTCAYGCCAGGATTACTTTTCGCTCTTTTCGCTAAGTAAGAGCTTGCTGCCACATTAGGGCTGAGTGCATCTCCCCTCTGTTTCTGCTGGGGTACAGGGCATAACTGTAGCTGCTCCCTGATCAGGCATTCACACATAATCTAAGCTAGATTGTTTTGCCTATTGTAGAAAACAATTGCTTAGTGTTGTGATGGGTTCTCCTTTCTGTTTGCTTGCTCATCGTAAGACAAATTCCTGCAGGGTAGTGCTTGGGGAGACGTTTAAGTAGCTGCTGGGAAATGAAACATTTCATCAGTGACAGCTTGTCAGGAACTTCTTTTTCTGTTTTGACAAACTAAGGATTGCTTTTTTATTAAAGTGTTAGTTTCTGATACTAGTCAGAACACCCATATCAAGTTAAATGCATTTCAGTTATTCATCACTCTACTGGTTATTTAAAACTTTCACACTAAAGTGTGAGGGGAAAACATCTCAGATTTATTAATGCAGTCAATATACAGGGAGAAAGGAATCACCCTTTTGCACATTTACCAATTACTAAAGCTTTATTAGGTGTTCTGACTAGTATCAGAAAAGTAAGTTTAAAAAAATGCTGATATAAATGTGTAATGTTAGCACATGAATTTTTTTAAATCCATAGCTGTATTTTTCAACAGTTCTTCGTGGTGTTCTAGAGAATGATAAAATGGGTGCATCATAAATGAGGTTGAATTTTGAATGTTTTTRTCTTCGTGATTTGGCCAAAGACAAAAAATATATTTCCTCTTGAGTTCTGGCTTTCTCATCAGCACTTAGCTGAAATTGCTGAATTGTTAGTGAATGAACTACAGACTCGAAAATGAGTACTCGTAAATACGTTTGCAAACTGAATGACTTTAAATCTTGCAGCAAAGACTCAATTAACTTTAAAGTTTTCTTAWTTTTTTTTATTCTGAGCACTTAAAAGGACCTTAAAGAAGTAGTATTTGAGTAGATCTTTATGATAGTGTGATATGTGCATGTCTTCTAGGGATATCAAAACTTCAAAGAGATATTTGAAGATCTGCCCAAAACTTGAATCATGGAGTAATCTGATAGAAATATTTAGTGCTCTCAGGAAACCATTTTCCCTGTATTCTGCATGTTTCCATGTTACCTCAAGGCAACTGTGCGTGGTAAATCATGAGCGTGTCTGACAGCTGTGCTAACAAACACATATAAATGTGAGCTTGTGATGTGACAAAACACTTTCCTGGAGCTGTCAGCGTTGGTGGCGTTCTCCAGGAGATCCGTGGTTCCCGCTCAGAACGCGGGTGCCTGTGGTGCCAGCAGACCCCAATGGGGCAGGGATGCGGTGGGGTCGTCGCAGCCCAGCCGTGAGCTGGGTGCTGCACAGCAGTGGGAACATTGGTTTGTGTTAGCAAGAGTCCAGGGTGTTTGACTTGTTGATGACGAGTCTCTACAGAACCCAAAATTATGTTGTGAAATGCAAAACTGCATTTCTCTGGAGGCTAAATATTCTAAATTCATAGCAAATGCAAGCAGGTTACAAACCTAACTGGTTATTTCTCATTTAAATAAACTGCAGGAGCACGGGGCGCTTGAATTGTGAGCAGGAGCACCACTTGTTAAGCTGCCCTGTGGGATGCATTGCACTGCATTTTGTGTGTGAGTACTCACACGTACAATTAAATGAAATCCAGTGTGGGAATGACGGAAGACAAAGATTTTGCTTGTTACTTTTGCAGCCCCAAACACACTGAAAATCTTTTAAGCAAATGACAAATATGCGAGATACATGTAAACCTTAATTCTTTTTAGTTAGCGTTGAGGCAAATATATTTTATTACAAATCAGTGTTGTAGTAGACAATGGCCTCCCCTATGAATCGAGCTAGATTCAGGGCTCTGTGAGATTTTTTTCTAGGYTTGTTTGACAGGTAGTGATGAACTGCGATGTGCTTTTATTATATACTTGATCCTGTTGTGACTGCTGCCCACTTAAGGAAAATATCCAGCGCTTACTCATCTGGGCATTTCTTTTCCTGTCTTACCTGGTTGGTATCTACTGGGCAGGAACGTTGGAGGCTAGACTGTCATTTGAGTGTTGAGGGTAAAGTGAGTGTTGCTTTTAGGGCAGAAAAGGTTAGTTGCTAGAGTTAATGGCAGAGAAACTGCCATTCCCTCCGCAGCCTGTGTTTGGGCTTAACTAAGAGTATTTACAAGTTAACGTGTGGGATTTGCATTGAGATGCATATTATCCTTTGGGATCGGAAATCTTTAAGAAGGGCTTTTTAGGCCTTTGTACTCAGGGAAKTTCCTCTGGTTCTTATGTTTGGACTGATCCAGGACTCTGCATCCCAATGTTGAAATAGTTCATCTTAGGCTTTAGGCCTTAAAATAGGAAATACTTGTTTTTTTGCGCAGTCTATTATACTTAATTTGAGCTTGACTTTCTTTAGTTACTAAGCCAGAAATACTGTTGCTCTGGGGGTGGACTGAGCCTGTTCTGCATCTGCTGTAGCATCACATAGGGCCCTGCCGCTGTGAAGCTATCGGTGCTTCCAGCTGGGTGCTTTCTGAAGGAGCGCTGCAGTAAAGCAGCTTCTGGTGAATCACATAGCTCTTATTCTGAATAAGTAAGTAGCTCTTATTCTGAATACAGGGGAAAATCTTTATTGAGTTACGAATGGGATAAATTCAAGTACAACCATATCTAGAGCTTTTGTTTGAATGGTCTTCTGAGCCCCTGAAGTTTTGTGATTGGTTTTTGTTTTTCTTAATATATTGAACAAAGAATTCTCTTTACTCAGGCATTTACAGATCAGCTAGGAAGCTGATGGCAAGTGTCTTACCTATTCAGCAATGCTCCTGCTTTTACTTTCAGATGGATTTAATGCCGTTTATCAATAAAGCTGGTTGTGAATGTCTTAACGAAAGCGATGAGCATGGCTTTGATAACTGTTTACGTAAAGACTCTACCTACCTGGAATCAGACTGTGATGAGCAGGTATAGTAGACACTTTTCTTCTKATGTCAGATATTGTCAATGCTGCTCTGGTCTGTGTGTTTTGAAGAATTTGTAAATTGAAGAATTATAAAAACACCTTTTTTTTTTTTTTTCCCCCCGTCTCCACAGCTGCTTATTACTGTAGCTTTTAGTCAACCTGTCAAGCTTTATTCTATGAAACTTCAGGGGCCAGATAATGGTGAGTGAAGTGTGTCCGTTCAGTCGTGTTCTAAATCAAAGCTTTGTCTGTATTTGACTGAAATTCCTTAAGAATTTCAGTCAAAACTTGCTACTGGAAATGTTTGCTCTCTGAATCCTACAATAGCTTCAGTAAAACTGGTGTTAATGAATTGGATGATAATGGTCTTGCATTAATATTATGCTGATCTGGTGCTTTAGTATTTGCTGTGACGCAAATATAAATATTTATTATATTTTGACTATCTGTAAGGAGAAACCTACAATTAGTTGAAGGGTTATATGAGAGACCTACTAAAAGCATATYGCATAATTGGTATGTAGCAAAACTGTATAAAAGGTTCAGGTGTTATATGACAGAGTGGTTGATTTCAAACTTTTATTTGGATTTCTTCTGTGAACCTGGTGCACAAACTCAGATGAGCAGAACACCTGCAGATATTCTGCAATATCTAGGATGTTGCTTTAYAATTAGCAAATTAAGATGCTGAAACTATTGAAGGCTTCTAGATTGGTAGCTAGGGACTTGGAATATGCAGGGACTTAAATGTCAATTTGTAATGATTTTTTAAAATACCTGAATCTTACACACTATGTTTTTAAAGTAACTAATTTATTTTAACACAGGACAAGGTCCAAAGTACATAAAAATCTTTATTAACCTTCCGCGATCTATGGATTTTGAAGAAGCGGAGCGGAGTGAACCAACTCAAGCGCTGGAGCTGTCGCCAGATGATATTAAAGAGGATGGTATCATCCAGCTTCGCTATGTAAAATTTCAGAACGTGAACAGTGTAACTGTAAGTAAAACTTGTSTTCTGAGATCTGTACCAGAAAATTTCTTAGGCTTTTAAAACACGGAGCGTGTTTGTTTGATTGCAGATGTTCTTAGTTGCTTGTCACTGGTGGCATCCTGCATGGTCACACTTAGCAGATTTGAGGAATTTCAGGGGACACAAGGCTATGCCCATGCAATGTATAGTTCGGCCTATGTAAAATCAGTTTAATCTCCTCTCTTCATGAACTAGCATGCTGTTTAACACAGCATTTTACTAGCATGCCTTTTTGAGAGGCATCTTGTCTTTGTTTAAAGAGTTCAGGAGTCAAGGAATCCTGTCTTCTTCAGTAGCCTGATTGTCTCATTTCAACAGCCATTTCCCTCTAAATACAAAGTATTTACTATGACTTTAAACTCAACTGGTCCCTGGCAGGGTTCTTAAACATTGTAGTCAAATGTATTTTGTTTTTAAAGGAGTTTCCAAAATCTTTAGCTGCAAGATGCTTTCTGCAGACTTTGCCTGGTTTTTGTGCCYCTTAAATGGAGGTGCAATTTCTCCTGTTCCATTTTGAAAAGTACATTGTGTACTACTGGGCAAACTATGGTGTGAGTAACTAGACGTGCTGCTTTTTTGCATTGTTTGGATCTCAGCAACACAGTAACAGCCTCCTAGCTGCCTGGCTAAACCTCATTTCTGTGTTGAAGACATTCTAGAAATGACAAGGCTGGACACTTCATCCGTGCAGGGTCTTCCCATGCAGTGAGCATTCACTTGGAAGAGGGGTGGATGGCTCTGCTGGTTTAGATCAGCCACCCAGCTGGTTTAGCACTAGTCTATTCCAGCACTCAGTGTCACCAAATTGTGTAAATACAAGGCAAGCGTCTAGGGCCATGTACCCTCAGCACTGGGTGGCCTGTGACACAAACACAGAATGTCATCTTAGTAGTTACTGTTCATGCTCATKCAGTGGCCTTGAGGTACAAGCTGCCCCTTGCTCACCTGCTCTCCTCCCTCTCCTTTTTCCTTGCTACTGTCCCAACTACCTCCTCATTCCTGCTTTCCTAATGCTCACAATGTGGAGAGATCCATGAACATCCCAGTGCTCTTCTGAGTGCAGGTTCCTTGCTCCTGCTGCTTCATGCCAAAAAAAAAAAAAAAAAAAAAAAAGGCTTTTTTTATGCTTGCTAAAGTGTAGTGATTCTAGTGTTAACTAAGGTCTGACCAAAATCTACTTTTGATCTACTTCCTTAATTTGTATTTCAAAAGAAGCTTGATATTTGCTTGCAACCTTGAATTCAAAGATAAGTTTTCATACTGAAAAACACATAATTACAAAGTCATTGTAACAAAGTATGAGTAGCCCTGTGAGCTTAAGCAAACAAGTTAAATCAGTATTTAACTTCATTTGAAATCAAAATTAAATGAATAGTGAACTTTGACTTCTTAAATCCATCGTCTTTGTATTTGCTGCATGTTGTCTCAGATAAGAAGCATAAAGTGGGCAAAACCCAAGAAGTGTAAACTGGCAAAAACACTGTTTTTTTCCTCTTCAAAATAGTAGTAGCAACTTGTATAATTACGTAAAATAAATGGGGGAAAAAAAGTCTCTGAAGGTTAACAAGGTATTTGTGAATGAGAATGTGTTATTTGGCAAGTTAAAATCTATTAGGCTCCCAACATTTCTTGTGTGTTCACTGAGGAATTAATTAACTTAGTTCTTGTGTTTTCTTTTGTGTGTTAGTTATTTGTCCAATCTAATCATGGTGATGAAGAGACAACAAGAATTACGTACTTCACATTTATTGGGACTCCAGTCCAAGCAACAAATATGAATGACTTCAAGCGAGTGAGTTCTCTCTCTTTTATTGTATTTCTTTATTATCTTAAAAGCACTTTTGAGTCTTTTAAACCTGCTTGAAAATGGGCCGTTCTTTGGCTGTTCCTGTAATTCCACAGTTTCAGGTAAGGAAGCTTTGGCATCCAGAGCAATACATTTTCCTTTTTTTTTAAAAGATCTTTTGACTCACTTGTGGGTCCTTTATTCATCGGCTTTGTAAAAGCAACTGGTAAGAATTTGTATGTATATACACCAAGTATACACCAAGTATTTGCAGCCTGATGGTCCCTCGAGTTTTATTCGCTGCAGATGGCCCTGGCTTTTAGTAGTTTTGAGGCTTACACCTCAAATTTGAATTTGAAACTTGTGTTCTGATGATATGTTGGAAGTAGAGAAGCAAGTACATAAGAAAAAAAAATAGACTTATTTGATTTCTGCTGCCATTCAGGGTTTTTGTCCATGGGGCTGCTTTAACTTGACATATCTGAAAAATACTTTAGTCTCAAGACTTTTGTAAAGCACATCTCTCTCCTCATTGAAGAGGAAGTGAAGAAGAGGCAATCACCTTTTCAAAGTATGACTTAGGCTCATGGGTACCTGATAGTAAGGCTCTTGATAGATATATATATATATATATATTTTTTTTTCTCCCCTCTCTTGATTTTTGAGAATGTGAAATGGGTTTGAAAGTATTGAAGTTTAAAACTACTTGCAGCTTTCTGAAATTTTAATGCAAGTATTCTAAAATATACTACTTTAGAACTTACCAAGTTACTAGTCCCTTTACAGAGGCAATTGCTGCTGTAACACAGTCTGCTCAGCTGCTCTATAGGCAAGAGTAACATGGAAAGTACCCTGGAGCTTGCTGTACAAACTGCCTAAAACTTCGGAAGGTTGAAAGCACTAACCCTCGCCAGCTTTCATGTACTTGAAATTTTTTCACATCCGGACTTGGTCTTAGAAATTTCTACATGTAAAAYGTCAGTATCTTTGCTATCTATTACCTATCTAAATAAGGTAATAAATCTAAACATATTCCATTGTCATTCACGGGAACCTCAAGTGGAGTCGCTGAAGGACTTGCTCCAGTGCACCGAAATCAATTGCACGTCAGTTTTGGAACTTTCATGCCACACCCAGATTCACTTAAAACTAGAACTCTTAATTTCTTTACGCTATATGTTTTTTCTTTTTTGTTTCATGCTGCCTTTTTTTTTTAATCGCTACTTATGCTGCTGGGGCATCTCTGACTTGTGCAGTTTCGATATGAACCTCACATCCTTAACCTGCAGTATATCTTGTATACCTTGTCAGATGAGGGAGCAGTTGCGCTCTTTAAACCCAGCCTGCTCTCTATCAATAAAAATATAACCTGTGAACATTCTTGCTTAGGGTATATTTTGTCGAGCAATTAGAAGGTTTTTTTTTTCCTGGAATTTTATGTTTGAATTTTTACATTTTGGAAGAAAAGAAAAAGATTGAAGCCTGTGTGATGGGGTTTTACCCTCTGACAATTTAAGCTGCACAGATAAGGACTTAGTTTGGTGGATGTGGTTCTGCTCGGTACTTCCTTAGTGTGAAGTTTGCTGCTGCACCACAGTCAGTGTTTCTGTGGCCAGTAGGTATTCTGAACTCGCATGCAGTTCCAATTCTGTTGGATTCTATGTGTATTCTGTGTCTTTATAGAGTGGCTCCTCGAGTACTGGAATAGCGTGGGCTTCCAGGCATCATCCTCTGTAGTCTGAGGGGTATAAACCTCTCGGATCTAGATGCAGAGCAGAGGGTGGCTCTGCAGCCTGGCAATGCAGCACCAGCTTGCAGCTCCAGAGCCCATAAAGAACAAAGGTCTTGGCCCCATCAAGGAATGTGCCTGAGTATCTTTGGATCCGTGTTTAATTTGGAAGAGGAACAAACCTGTGACAACAGTAGACACCAGACAGTGACACAGTGCTGGCAGTGTGATGTTAATGTCACGGTCGGGGGAAATTTGTCAGAATTGGTTTAAGTGGGAGTCTTGCCCACCTTGCTGGGTTAAGTCAGTTCAGATATGTGTAGACACTATATATAATATTCCTGTTTTGCTTCCTAAACATGTAGTTTTGATATTAGGCTGTTAAAATATTTTATCGTAACAAATGAGATGKGTAGTCTGGCAGAGTTACAGTGCTCTTGGGAATTGTAACTTTTGTTCCCTCACTTCCAGTGATCCTGTCAGCTATGAAACCTTAATATAGCGTCGGGCATTAATTATTCTTAGGTCTGTAGATTAACTGAGAAACCTTATTTTTCTTTTCATCTCCTTGAGTAGTTACCCATACAGCTCCTCACCACTTTCATCTGTCTCGCTGCCTTGTCTCAGTCTCTCTTTACTGTTCCAGTTTTCTCTTCTAATTATGGTAGAACAGCGTCATTAACAAGGTGAGGGAATGTTGTTTTCCATGAACATGACTTCAGACATGTTCTTAAAGCCTCGTACGGCTCTTGTTGGATTGCACGTGTGTGCAGTTTCAAAGTGAGAAGCCAGGGCTTGAACAACTTCAGCTGAGGCTGAAGTGGCTGTGGCTCGAGCTGTGACAGAACTCGCCTCGCTGTGGCAGCACGGGGACTTCAGGCAGCCAAGGAAAATTGCAGTTTGCTTTTGTGGTGCCCTGTTAGTGCAGTGGGACTGCAGGAACAACACCTCCTCTTGAGCAGGAGGTCAGCTCCTGCTCCTTAGCACCATTGAGGCTGCATGTGAGCAAATTTCACCTGCTCTCAATAAGAACAGAAGTGCTAAGTGGGTCCAGTCAGGCCCTTCTGTGCTAAGTTTGGCTTCAAGTTAATTTTTGACATACATGCAGTTGCTATTCTAGATTCATTGAATGCAGTTGCAAAAAGATGCTTTTAAACTTGTTTTCTGTGCTGTGTATATTCTCTTCCTTTGTATTTCAACATCTAGAGAGAAGAGAATATTGGGTATTTCTAGTAACATTTCAGTAGCAGAGAAAGGGGGAAACAAAAACAGTTTTAAATGAAAGCAACTGTGGTGTTAAGCACGTAGAATAGATCCTTTGTCCTGTTTAAATGGAGGGGTCCTAAASAGCAGAAGACTTCCAGATTTTCCATGGCCATGGAAACCATGAGCAGAGCTCTGGGTTTTGTCTAATTTATTTATTGATGGGTGTGGAGGAGGCGTGTGTTGTTTTCCTTATTGATTGGTAGTTTTAGTCTTAGGCACATTCCTGTGAATCTCCTGGTGAACTTCTAAACATGCTTTTTTTTCACAAGAGCATGCAGCTCTCAGTTGATGTCGAGTACGGTTTTTGTTTTTATTTCTGGTATTAACAAATAAAACATCGTTGCTTAGTTCTGGGTTGGGGGCACAGATGAATGTGAACAGATTGTGGGGTTTGCTTAGTCTCGAGTGATGCCTTTCCACTCAAAGCTGCCTCTTTGCCCTCAGTGCGGCTGCTTTTCTCTTGTAACATTTTGTTTGTTTGTTTTTCAGCTTAACTTCCCATCCCTAAAGAACTAAACATGCAGAAGAAATTAAAAAAGTAATAATAAGATTGCTGTGGTCTGGCGCTGCTCCCTGCCCTGCTCCCTGTGCTCATCTAGCATCTCTTTCACCCCTTCCACAATCTCAGCCCTGATGCAGAAAGTACCTTCTCTGCCCCCGGCACAGCCTTGTCTGCTGGTGACTCATCACGTSTTCTTCCAAATCTCACCTTGAACACTTATCTTTACTTTCCAGTCTTGGCAGTTTTCCCTATTCTCCTGTATTCCAAACTGGGCGTTCCAAGGCGTTACCATTAAGCACTTCTCCCAGGTGTTTGTGCACCTCGGTTGTCAGTGTGCCTGGAATTCCACGCAGCCCTAGGAGGTGCTGTGGGGAGCCCCTTGCCGAGAACTCAGCGGAGTGCTCGGGTTCCTGGCAGGGTCAGCACCTTCCTCGGGGTGGTCCCTCGTGAGCAGCAAGGGCCCCTTGGCCGTCCCCCCAGCACGGGACCCAGCGAGGCTGTAGGGAGCCTCTGTGCACACTTTTAAGGTACCCACTTTTAATAGCTCGAGCCCGTTAAATAACGAGGATCTAAACGGTAATAACAAGCTGTCTGCTCGAGGGTGCCCACTGCTAAATGATGTCTCCACTCCTACCATTCAAAATGAGCAAAGGGGCATTTTGCTCATGGCTGATGGGTTGTGCTTCCTCTAGGGATTTTTTCCTTTTTGTCGTTGTCGTCACTGTCGGCCTGTGGACTGTTTCTTGAGAAATCCTTTGCTACAAAAGCTGCACCAGAACTTCCTGGTGCCCTGTCGGGATTAGAAACTGTTATCAGTATCTCGGACCCTACTAGATAATGGTTCTTCCTGACGACAGAAGGAAGATGGATCTACTTCTGTGGAGAGAAAAATAAATAACTTTATATGGGCATTTTATGTTTGGGAAGGTGAAGTGGGATCCTGTTGTCCTGTTGGTGACAAAATATCCATGTCGACGTGATTAATTTTTACAGATAATACACATGGGCGAGTTGTCAATYCCCACCACAGACTGGTATAGCAATACTTTTCATTGATGTGAAACACTTGCTAACATCTAATCTTTAGTGTTGTAATTGTTTTTTGCTTAATCCAAGTCTGAACATAGTTTGGTTTGGAAGCACATGAAGAATAAATACTGCTCTGTGTCAAGTTTAACTGTATTTTTAACTTGATTAATTGAATCTTAATGCAAACTATTGGACTTGTGGTTTTTCTTTCCTCACACCATCAAATTTGAATTTTCTTGACTATAAGCATTAAATTTACAACATGGTGAAAATATTCCTGGCCAAGGACGTGGTGGGGTGAGAATTTCTTTAGAARTGCTTTTCATCAGTAGATCTCATTACTTTGCAGAGAGGTGAGAGCTGAGATCGCCRAAACTAGCTGAGCAAGGGAAAACGTTTGGAAGTTTGGCAAGAGCTGGAAAAAGGGGAAGCATCAGTAAGAAAACTTGTAGTGGGTCCATGAGGCTGGAGTAGTTCAGGGTTGGGGATTTTTTAGGTGACTCCTCCACGCTGTGTTAGTGTTCGAGGAGTGACCGTGTGAATCTCTTGTGCTGTATTGTCGCTTAACTGCCAAGGAAACCAATTCTAAAGAYGTTCTGCCCGGTGAGGTAATTGGTGAGAATGCGAGGGCCGTGTGGCCCCTCAGCCCCCACTTTCCTGTGGGTAGCAGGGGCAGAGTCTGTTCCTATAGTCCCTCCAGATCTGCTCCTGCTGCTTCCGACAGCTCCTGCCAGGGAGGTAAGTGCCACTGCCTGCATAGATGGCAGTGGGCTGGGAATTCGTGCCTTGCCTAAGGTCTCTTTTGCAATTCTAAGGCTTAAATTTAAAGGCTTTCTTTTTAGTTTGGTTTGGCTTGAGTGGCTGTTTTCTATGGTGTCAAGAGCACAGAATTAAGCCTGTTTTTTTCCTGAAGTGTGACTAAAATGGCATCACTTCCTACTCAGTGTCTTGTGTTTGGTTGCCTCGCTGAAGGGGACTGGCTACCCTGCCTTTATGCACCGTGTTAGCTTGGAATTCTAAACCCGCATGGCCACATATGGAGTGGAATGCTGCTGGTGGGTAAACCTGCTCACCAAAGCGTGATGGCAGTGATGGGCCTTTCCCAAAAGGAAAGCACCAAGCTGATCCCGCGTGGAATTCACAGAATTGAATTCTGTGACGCAGCCTTTGTAAGGAGCCATATTTGGACAAGGAAGTAACGAGAACACAGGTGACTCCTAGATGCTGTTGATGCATTTATTTTAGACTTGAACTGCATTCTGAGATAAATAAGGTAAATGTTCTCTCTGAGGTGGTCACAGTAGTAAGGGCTTAGGGAATGGGTAGGTGTAAATTTGAGCACCTAGTGGTTCTCTTCCCATGGTAGCATTTTATGTAGCACATTAGGGTTGGCTGCTTGGCGTGTAACTTCACGTATGTTTTTAATAGTGTGGGCTGTTCTGTTGCCACTGCCGTCTCCTAACTCTGCTCAGAATGGGGTTGGTGCTTTGCTAGCTGGATTGATGCTGGAGATGGAGTTCCTTGTGTGTCTCATCCCTCTTAAAGTTCCGTGGAGGGATCTACAGCTCCTCCTTCTGTAGGTGCTCAAACAGTGCATGCTCAAACGCATTAATTCACTTGAAAATCCAGGAGCTCTTACTTATATCAAGGCTTACTTAAAAAAAAAATAGATTTGGCAAGACGTTTTCTATTAAACATTCATGATTTCCTTTTTTTCTCTTATCAGGTAGTTGGCAAGAAAGGAGAGAGCCACTAGGATGCTGAAGACACTGGAAGGCCTTACTGCAATCAGACGAGATCTCCACTTTTATCTCCGACTCCTGGATAATTGCTTGACTATAGCCAGAGACTGTCAGTCTGTTTCGATAATGCCATTACCAATAAATCATTGCTTTTGTTGACACGGAGTTTCACTAGTGTGTTTCTGTTGTAACCCTGGTACATGTATTTGTAAATAAAATTCATTACTTTTGCCAAGTTTAATTTCGTTATTCTAGTAGCTGCGGCTCTCATTGTTCCATTTAAACTTCAAAACTAGACTGGCTTATCTTAAGAAACAGAAGTCATAATGCAGCTTGCATTTGTTTAAGGACTTTAAAATGTCAAAAATAAGCAAAACCRAGATGGCTTGTTCACAGGCCTTTTAAAATCAAATTCAGAGCTACTTTGTTGTAAGTCTGAGTGAAATTAGGATCATTGTTCCCACAAAATAAAGATAATTCTCAGACAGGAATGACTGTACCCTGCTTGGACACCCACATTYCCCAGGAAAGAAAGGAAAAGCTCAGCCTGGGGAAGCGTGTATTAAATTTCTGTTCTATCAACTTGCAGATCTGTTTCAAACACCACTCTGGTACAAGCCTTTCACCATTATGAGTTCTTGAGTCCTTTGGAGTAGTTTTTGTTCACCATCATGAGAAAATATTGATCTTTCCCAGGCACTAGCAAGCTGTGCAGTTATGGGGATGAATAGACATCTGTGCTCCCCTCCCTATTTTATTCCTTGTATTTTTATCGGTCGTTTTTTGCTTGTCTCTGCATCTCGATAAGGAAATGCTCTTTGCTAATACTAGTTTCACATCTTAATTGGAATTCCTGTGCTACTTTGGTATGTTTTCTTGGAAGCAAGCCCAAAGTAATTTTAATAAACTGGGCATTGATCATGCTGTATACATACTATATAAATTCCCAGTAAAATTTAGTAAGTGTTTTTAATTGACATAATTAATTTCTTTGTAAAGTTACATTTATAATCACCATAAATCCCGCTAAGGCTTAAATCCAGTCCCGCTTGGCATTCCTTGCTTGAACACAGCGGGGTTCTTCTTCTCTGCCTTGGCAGATCTGTGCGTTAATAGGGAGTAAACTCTCTGCTAGCGCGGGTGCGATTCCCGGGCGGGAGGCCGGGAAGCGTCTGGGAAATCCTTCTTCCCAAGGCCCCTTCCTGCTGCGTGTTCCAGCCTGCTCCTCTCCCTGCGGATCTGTCCTATCCCATGGCTTGTGGCGGCCGCTCCATCTCTCCCGTAYTTCGTGTTCTGCTTCGGGGGGCGTATAAGGCATGTGAGACACTGTACATAGAATATGAAATCATTTKTAAGTATAACTGAAGGCAACAGGAATAACTGTTCTTGTTTATAGTTTTGTACACCAACTACCTTTTGGGTTATTGTTTAAGTGCCTCATCTTAAGTATTGCTTACCTCATAATATTTATACTGGAGAGAATTTGATAACCTCGGGATTCTCATCTTTGTACCAGACCAGTCAGGTTTATACTGTTTCGGAGACTGCTGTGATTCCATCATTGCCTGACGCATCCCCTCCATCCCCACTCTGTGTAAATACATCTAAATAAATGTTGAGAGGTAACTGCTGCATGTGTCGCTTAATGCAAGAGGGGTGAGAGCGTGCGCGGGAGGCCTGCGGTGGCAAAGGCAGGTTGTGGTGCGACGCTGTCGGTGGTGCTGCCTTTGGTGGTGCTGCAGGAGAGCGGAGCTGCTGCTCCGCACACCCGGAGCTCATGGAGCCGCAGCTCCTGCACACCTGGTGCTCATGGAGCTGCGAGTCCCATAGAGCCGGTGCTCATGTTGCTGTGGCTCTCAGACCCAGAGCTCTGGAGCTGCAGATCCCACAGTCCCCATGCTCACGGAGCTGCAGATCCTACAGACTCGGTTCTTATGGATCTGTGGCTCTTGTAGTCCCAATGCTCACAGAGCTCAGAGCTGCAGCTCCCGCAGACCTGGCGCTCACGGGTCTCCTTCCCGCTGCTGAAGCTGCTGGAGCCGCCTTGGCAGGCGACCTGCTTGCTGGCCGGACAGGCTCTGTGATCCCCGCGCTGGCCACGGTCCTCCTCGTGCGCACGCCGTCAAGGGCAGTGCCCGCGCCTGAGGCTGGCTGCCAACCCSAGTCACAGGCGACTAACAGGCTTCAGAGTAAATCAGTTCTCTGCCCAGTTTGMTGTATGTATAATGCATCTGTRTATATATATAAGTATCTTGTAGCTGGCACTGTTTAGAGGGTAAGCAGGTGGAATAAGCCCATGCACTAGCAGAGATCAGACTTGTGCTAGAGAGGTTACTCGGGTGCTCTGGTCCTCTCTGGCTTTATCCAATTCGAGTTTAGATGTTAAAGAGGTAATGCCTAAACACCACTTGCCTCCGAAATTAATGAAGAAAAAGTTTGAAAGCGATGCTGGTTGAAATCTAAGGCCTGAAGGTGCTCCGGCCGAGGAGGGGTGTGTGTCCCCGCGCGGGCAGCGCTTCCCCGTTTCCATCGGGGTGCCGCCGGGGCGAGGGCTGCTTCGCGGGCCGGAGGGCCTGTGCAGAGGGTTAATACCCCGCCTGGGGCAAACGCGAATGCTGCAGGGTCTAAACACTCTCCTTGGCTGTAGCAGCGCGTTGGCAATTGGATTTAGAACAGTACTTCTGAGACATGCCAGTAAGATACTGAAGTCCTGCCACGAGTACCAAGATTTTGGGTAGTATAATTCACATGTGTTGGGGAACATAAGGACTATCTAATACTGCATTTAAATCCTCGCCTCATTTGGCATGAGCTCGAGTGCATTCTGTGCATCTAACTTTTGCTTCTAGGCTTCTTAAGGATGTGACTCCAAGACAGCAAAGACATCCCTTTTATTTCTGGCTGAGCCCTTGCTGTAGGGTCTCTTCTATGTGGATATTTCTCAGAGGAATGTAATTTTGCTCTTCATTTTTRAGTGTAGTGAAAGTTCAGGTGATTTTTCATCCTTACGTCTCAAGGGAGTATTTCTATTGAAGTAAGAGGAGTATTCCCCTGCTTAATGTCACGTAAGTGAATAAGGACCTAAAAATACATGTGGTTTCGCTCTTCCTGTAGCCTTTAACTGCAAAATGGTTTTCTTATCTCGACACTGGATCACCAGAATAAAGTTCTCCTCATGAAGAATTGCACAATGTGAAAATGTTGAATGAGGAAATAAGTTAAAAATAAACCCCYATGAGCAGGGATGGGAGAAGAGGCTTGATGGAAGGAGGTGGGTGTGCATTAAACTGCTGAGAGGTCGTGCATGTGGCACAGGGCACTGTCCTCCCTGGCCTCCCTCCAGGCTTAGTGTGCTGTTCGACTAGACCTTTGTAAGAACTGCATTCAAAAATAATTCTTTATTTAATTTTATGGGTTGCAAAATCCTCCAGGATATGAGCAGAGCCTAGCTGAGCCCTGGCACGTCTGGAAGCTGCATCAAGCTCTGGATGTGACGTGGTCTGGGGGTTCGGAATTGCTGCTGGGACATCGCTGGTGGCTGCTTGGTGTTTGCAGGTCTGTTTAACCAGAGATTTAAATAAAATCTTCATTTAAGTCCATGTGTGCTGAAGTTTCCATGTGAGGTTTGTTGCTGGTGCCTCCAGCAACGCRGTGATAGAGCTATAGTGGCTGGTTTGAGCTTGCCCGGTCTCAGCCCCCTCGCTGGCTTCCTTTTCTATGGGAGAACATGTCAAAGTGTCCTAGAAACGCCGGGCGCGAGGTAAAAGACCCCTCCTTATTCCCGGCTGTGGAACGTGYCCCTGTGCAGGATGCTCCTTCTCCAACCGCGTCCCTGCACCGTTCGCTCAGTGCTCCTGCTTGTGCACCRTTCTGAGCATGATCTTTTTTGAGCGCCTATCACATATTCGTAACCACTGACCTTCTCATTTGAGCATTAAAAGACATTTTTTTTCTCAGTGGAAGTCTTTCCCGAGAAACAAATTCCCCTAAACGAAGCAACCAGCAAGTTGGGYGAAGGGGCTCCCGAAGCCTCCCGCCTCAAACAGAGCGGGGTTAAGGCTCCCAGGGCCCCCACCCCTGGGTGCTGCTTGCGAGATGGCTCCATCTGCACTAAAAAGGGTAAATTTTGCTTGTTTTATTGCTGTTGGGAAGCTTAACTCTGCATTAATGCTCCTTCACATAGTGAAAAGCCATGTACCTCTGAAACGCATTTCCTGCTATTACGCGAACAAATGTAAGGGTAAGGTGTATGAATTAGCAAGCGTGCAGGAGAAATGAAACAGGTGAGCAGGCGCACGGGAAGCAGGAGGCGAGTAAGCACGCAGGCAGGAGGAAGGCGGTAAGCGGGCGCGCAGCGGGCCCGCGCAGGGCAGGCGAGGGCGGCGCTGGGCTGCGGGCTCGGCCGCGGGGCACGCGGGGCCGTGCGGGCACCTCGGAGCGGCCCGCGCGCCCCGCGGGTCGCTCCTTCCAGCTCCCTCCAGCTCCTCCAGCCCCTTCCAGCTCCTTCCAGCAGGTGCCAGTAGCAGCTCGGCAAAAGCCCCGCGGCGGCCGGGCCGGGCCGGGCCCCGTGGCCGCTGCCCCGCGCGCATGGACGGAGCGGCCGCTCCGTGCCCGCTGCTCCCGGCCCTTCCCGGCCCTGCCCGGCCCTTCCCGRCCCTTCCCGGCCCTGCCGCCTCCCGGCTTTCCCAGGGTGGCCGCGGGGAGCCCGCGGTGGTACCTGCGGGCAGGGGGGATCCTGCTGGGCTTGCTCCACATGGACAACACCTCCAGCTCCCGAGGGCTCCGTGCAGGAACGGGGAGCGACTTTGTCCTGCTCGGGCTGTGTTTGCATATGTGCTGCTGAATGTATGGCGTTAAAAAGCGAGATGCGGAGGGAAATACCTGATGGGGATGGATAAAGGCACCTATGAAGTAACGGTGCAGGAAGATTGCTGCATTCCCTGCTTGGTTCCAGGGCTGTGTGGGAGGCAGGGAGTCGCAGGAATTGCTGCTGGGACCTCCAGGGCAGCCCCGTGTTGCACATGGCAATGAGACACTGGCAGAAAAAGGAAAACAGCCCCRGCATCGCCGGGCATGTGGGTATCCAACCCCTTTGGCTTCCCTGCTGTGGGCAGGGGGATAATATCAAGTGAATGTGTGACCCTGGCACCGCCAGCAGAGCAAGCACGCGGGCTGTCCGGATCACAGACCCAGGCTGTCATCGTCTGCGTGCTCTGGAGCAGCCCTGGGCTTTGCAGGGGCGGCTGGAGTGGCCCTGGCCCTGGAGAGGGGCTGCGGCAGAGCCCGACACCGGGGTGCTCTGTGCACCCTGCGACGTGCTGCGCTCCGCGGCGAGGCGCTGCTCGCCGCAGCCTCACGAGAGAGGTTCGTGAAGATCCGGGTAAACTGTGATGGGGGGGGTATATGTGAGGTGATGAAACACATACAAAAAAGTTGCAAATACTCAAAATGAGTGTTTGGCACCCTGGATGGGTAATGCATGGCACACAGTGCTCCCATGTAAGGGCCAATTGCACCGGCCGGGGCTCATCAGGCCTGTCACAACAGCCCAGCACGAGGCACCGTCTGCCCCTTGCACTGTGTGGGGCAGCAGCGTCGCCAGCGGGGCAGAGCCTGGGAACTGGCGCCCAAAAGGGCTTCCAAACTCGTGTGCTCGGGAGCGCTGCAGCCGGGCAGTTTGTGGATGGTCGTCCTTCTCGTGGCATGTTGGAGGAGCAGAGAGGCAGGAGGAAAGAGGACATACGAGTCCCTTTCACCCTAAAGGTTAGTAACAAGTATAGGGTGGACAGGAGAAATAAAGTGCTATTTAAACTCAAGTTATTATTTCAAATATTTTTTAATATAGTGAAAGGAGCTAATCTGAC